CAGTTCTCTAATTTAAAAATCCATCTTGTGGATCTTAAGTGAAAGCTGCCTCCTTGCTCTTTACAATGGAGTCTGGCATTTACAAATAAGATGTAGAGGTTCATCTGATCTGTAACATGAGCCCTTTAATAGTTGTAGAGCTGAAAGTCTTAATGAGGCCATGACTTTCTGCTTTGCTTCATTTCCTCTTTCAATGCTTGGCTCACTTTGTTTGTGGCTTTGTTTAAGTACAGCCAGAACCACAAATCCTCCTGTTGCTTCATTAATAAAGAGCCTTATTCAGAAATTCCTAGGATATGCCTGAGCGAGCAACAGGAAGAAGAGAAATCCAGAGAGGAAGAAATGTGTGGATTATTGCGTTTTGCTGGCATGATGAGTCATTGGTCAGACAAAAAGAGAATCAATGTGTTGCTGTGGGGGACAGAGGTGGGAACAAGTCTGGAGACGGAAGGAATGAGAGAATTCCCCCTGGTCTCCATCAGCACAGGCTGTTCAAAGGTAAATACAACTGGATTCTCCCCAGAGCTTCGTTATGGAGTTGATCCTGCAAGGTTCTGTGCTCCCTTAGCTCCCAGCCTAGCAATGTGTGAGAATTCCAAGGCAACCCAAAAGGTTAATGCATGAGGGCTCTTGTGCTGGGGCTCAAATCCTAACTGAGCACACAGAGAGGAGGGGGAGATGCAGCATTAGCCACACTGCCTGCTCTGGAGTGTGCATGTCTGTGCTCCAGCCCCACTGAGCTTCTCCTCATGGATGGGCTGCCCTGGCTCAGCACTGGGGGGGCCTGGATGCCTTGGAGTGGCTGCCTAGAACAGAGCTAGACAAGATTAAGAGAGCAAAAGCAGATACTTATTAAAGTGCCTTAGGCAGTCTCGAGAAGCCTCCAAGTGGGGCTACAGCCAAGATTGCCAATGGTCATGAGTTTTCACACAATTATTAGTTTGGTCCATTTCCATATCAGGAATTAATCCTCCAATTACAGCTTCAGGTAATGAAGTCACATACCCCGAGGTTCCTCCTTTCCCAGCTTACTTTTTGTTTACACTTCTCAGGGTCTGAAACAGTAGGGTGTTCTTGAGTTTCAGGTCCAGAGAAATTGTTTCACCCGAATAAAATGGGAAGGCAGTAACTAACATGCTGTGGAGCTTTAGAGTTATACATTAAAGAAGTACAGGATCTGACAAATATAAAAGCTAAATTCCTGAGTCATCACCCTGACTGGACAATGTGTGTCTGTGGTGTCCCAAGTACCCAGGGTTGGGCTGCCAGGTGTGTGCTCACTGTGGGATAGAGAGGGACACTGCCCTGGAGGGGAATCATGTGGGAGATGCAGCTCTGGAGCATCTCAGACCTGTTGGCACAGCTGGGTTCTCCCTGGGGTGAGGTTTAGCAAAGCCATGGCACTGCCTTTGTCTGCAGGGCCTGGTCAGCGCCACCAGGGTGCTCCAGGAAATAAGAGGATATGGTAGAATTCTGTGGTTGAAACAAATCCACTCCATAGCCAACTTCCAAGAAGACAAGAAGCCTTGGAAAAGCCTGGGCTCCATAATTGTATCTACTGCTTTGGAAATAATCATTCCTACATTTACAGGCAGCATCTCTCCCTCCTCTCTGTGTGCTCATTAGGATTTGAATCCTTTTACATTCCCACAGTGTTGTTTTACTGTTGTTCTCACTCCCATGCAGGTGTCTCAGCTCCCCTGCATGGCCAGAAGTCTCTCACACAGTAAAAAAATCTTTGATTTAGTTAAAAACAGCTTTCAAAGCATCCTTTCATGCAGGTGTCTCAGCTCCCCTGCATGGCCAGAAGTCTCTCACACAGTAAAAAAAATCTTTGATTTAATTAAAAACGTTTTTCAAAGCATTCTTGCACCTCAGAAAGAAACTGAAATGAATATGAATAAATCAGAGTCACTCTTGAGAGGCCAGCAGTACCTCGCAGGTTTCCCCAGAGGCAGATGGAGCCTGCTCTGCTCAGAAACAGCCCTGCACATCCCTCTGCTCTGCTCATTTCAGTGCACTTTTCACTGAAAGGAGATCACTCCCCTTTCACTTTCTTCCTTCTGCTTTTGCTCCACCTGAAGCTTCTGTTGATGACAAAGCAGTTAGGAACAGGAGAGGGAAATCTTCACAGGAACAGAGAGACAAGGAAAAAAAATCCTACTCCCCTTTGAATGCAAAGCTGATGCTCCTCAAGCATTCCATTAACCTGAGCTGTTCCCTGTGCCAAGCCCAAATGGGCAACGGGTAAGGAGATATTATCATTATAATGTCTCACCCTGGTAGATTTGAACATCCCAATGACATTTTACAAAATAAACACAGGTCAAGGGCTTGCCCTGGAGAGCTGGCTGTGACATCCAAGACAAGATCACGGAGAGAGAGCAAATTCAAAGGAAATGTGCAGTCCTGGATTCCCTGGCAGTGCAGCAGCTTCTGCCTCCTCGAGCAGCTGAGTTTTTTCAGTACTGAATGAGGCAGGAGAGGGGGCTTAAGCACAGTTTATGTGCAGGCACCCACCTCTCAGGGACCTTCAATCTGCTTCTGCCAGTGTCTTTTATAGAACAAAAATTGTTTGAGAAAGGTTTAAAGTAGACAAGAGATTTACAGGAGTGCAGAATACAAGAAGGCACAGTCAAGACTTACCAGATCCTTGCAAAATCATGGAATTCCACTAAATGACTCAAAACTGAGCTTGTTACTGGCTTGCCCTTTTTCCAAGGAAAGTCTGAGATTTCACTGGAAACCTTAGGGAAACACTGCCTTGTTTCTGTTTTGTTCAGTCTAGAATCTTCAGTAATTGGGATGTTTGAATCAGCTTTTGTGAACATCTGGATCACCCAAATTATCCACGTCTTTTTTGGACAAAGGAAGATAATAATAATGAGGAGACTCAGAGCTGGGTCCCTGGAAATCAGGCTGGAGTTGCAGTTTTCTGAACAATAAAAAAAAATAATTAAAACCTTTAAATGGCATCTTTTGTTCCAGTCAGAGTCCCTTGCACATGTACCAGTGGAAGTCATTGCCTTCCAAATTCACACAGGAGCTGATGAAAATTTTGTTATGGCCCAATGATGCAGAAAGAAACTGGCAGTGAGATTTAACAAGGTCACTTCAAGGCACAGAAACCACTGTAAAATATGCTCATTCCACACATGGCCAGCGAGGTGAGGGATAAATGTTTCACTCATAGGAAATAGTGATTTACGATTAATTTCCAAAAGAAGGAAATCCTTTTTTAATCAAAATAATTTATAGGGTTAATCTAAAGGCTTGCCAGCATGGAAAGCCAGGCAAGGTGAAGATGGATGGGGTTTGTCCATGGGATTTGAATCAGCTCTGCACAGGAGGGCCTGTAGTCAAGGATACCTGTATTATTTATGGCTGAGGTTTCAGAAGGGAATAGTTGATCTTGCGTCCCTTGGGTTTGGCTGCTCAATGTGTGACCTGTGCAGAGCACCAGCCTCGCTGAAAAATGGCCTTTAGAAATGTTATTCCCCACTATTTCTGGTGTTTGGTGCTCGTGGCTGGATGTAGGTGGACAGAAGCCCAGGATTCCCTCACTGAATGCTGCTGGGTCAGAACTGAGCAGGGCTGGACATGACAAGGGGGACAAGAAAAGATGTTTAAAGAAATGCTAGGAGTTTTTTTAGTAGCTGTTTTTGGGCATGTGTGGCTGCAGCAGGAGACAGAGTGATTCTGTTTTAGCCCTGGTGAGGAGTGATTGCCCCTTTGCCTCCCTCTTGCTAGAGTGTTCAGAGCTGCACAGGACCCGGCTCTCAGGATGTATCCCACGCTTCAGCTCCGAGTTAATTTGATCTCACATCTGCTGCTTATTAAATTAATGCTGCATGGTTCCCTGGAATGAGCACTATAGATTTTTATAGCATATCACAGGTGCTCAGGTGCTGCAGTGAGGGTCAGGACTCTGAAAGCTAAGCAGGAAACTGTACAGGAATCCATAAAGTGGGAAAATAGGGTGTGATTTGTCACTGGAAAGGCTGACAATTGTTGAGGAAGAGATGAGATAAGAAAAACAAGACAAGTCGAGTGTGGTACTACAGTGATGTTATTTATAATCTCACTACAGACCTATTTTCTCTTGTGACTTTAATCCTCCGCATTTGCAGTGAGCAATCTATTATATTGGAAGATATTTGAGATGCTTTGGGAGTAGGGAAAGTATTATACATAAAATATGCAGCTAATATTATTAGAACAGACTCTGATTAATTTTGCAGCTGGCAACATTACCCCTGCCTGAAAATTAAATCCATTTGCTATCCGTGTGGAAGTAATTGTGTTAATATCAAAGCTAGTTTTGAAATGAAATGGGGAGAGTTCCACTCCATGTCTCCCATGCAAGGAATCAGGGATATGAGATGAAGGGCTGGAGTAATGATTCCTTGCTAACACAAGGAGTTATCCTTTCCTCCACCAAATGTGCAAGACTTCTATAGAGTTTTTGTGATGTATTTAAGGTACATTCAAAGATATTGATAAACCCAAGTGACCTTGTCTCGGTCTCACCCCTGGTTTGCAATATTGCCCGTGGGCAGACACTAATATTTGTATTTGTACTACGTGTTTGTACAGCACCAAGCACAGCAGAGCCCTGCTCTCCTGGGCAGGTTCATCACCCCAGCAATTATTCACAGCAAAGATACGTGCCCAAGCCAGAAATATCTCAGTCTAATTACACTGGAGTGATTTTGAAAAGCAGTTGGACGAGATTAAAGAGACAGCTTTCGTTAATTAAGAACTGTTTGGGCTTCCGGTGCTGTAAGGATCCCAGCTGGCCCCATATGCACCTCTGGCTGCAGCTGGGCTCCGCATCCCCCCCTTTATTTCTCCTGCAAAAGTTTTCCTCCCTGCAGCCTGTTTGCTGGAGCGCGGGGATTCTCTCCTCCTCCTCCTCCTGCTAAGCAGGAGGTGGGCAGGTCTGACTACATTAAATGTACAAACACGCTGTGCTCACTCTGCTCCACAGGCAGCATCGCTGGCCCGCCAGCAGCACAGCCCGAGCACGGGCTGGGGAAAGGCTGAAAGCAGCAGCAGCGAATCCAGCAGGCAAGAGCCCCGTAGGAAAGGGGAGAGGAGCAGCAGGAGAGCCCAGCGAGGTGGGGCACCCCGGGCTCTCACAGGAGCGCTCTGCAGCCCTGGCACATCGCTAGGAGTGGACGAGAGCGGCGTCCCAGCACGGAGCATCCTTCGAGGAGGAAGAGCTGGAGAGCACTCACAAGAGATAAGGGAAAAAAAACCACCCAAAAACAACAAAGCACCAGCTGCTACCCCTTCCAGAGGAAAAGAGAGTGAAGGGAGTTTAGGGGAATGAACCTGGAGGGTCCAGAGACTCAGAGCGGAAAAGTTGCCCTGCCGGGAGACTCTGCACACTGAAGCTCTGCTCCGCGATGGGATTTCTGGTGCCTAAGCGAAACCTCCTTCTGCTGCTGTGTGCCAGCATTTTCCCCGGTAAGTTTGAGAAAGCTCTTGTCCCCTTGCTCTGCTCTTTAGCTCTTTCCTCCCTTATCCCTCTCAAAGACACGCTGCAGGGAACCAGCCCCTGTCCACAGGGAATTTCCTGAGCCCTCCACCCTTCTGCCCCACCATTTCTGGTCCCCTGAGCACCAGCCTCTGCTGAGCAGCTCTTTGCCTTTATTCTCTGCTCCTTGTCTGATTTCATGGAGAAAGGGTTAAAGCCACGGAGGGAAGGGGACAGGAGGGAGAATCCAGACGGGGCTCAGCATCCTGCTTCTTGCCTGGGCTTTTCTTCCCTGGGTAAAGTGTGTTAATGTGTCTCGGGGCTACAGCTCCGGCTGGGGAGAGCACAGCCAGCGCTCAGCTAATGCTTCCCTTTGTATAATCCAGGGCAGCTAAAGACTAAGTAGAAGCCATATTCCACGAGGGACCTGGGGACAGCCCCCGGCTCCCTCTCCCCTCTGTCTGGTACAGCGCAGCTCCTCCAGCAGCCCCTGGATGAAATGCGGCGTCAATTTTTAACAACCACCAGGCTCCTCTGACAGCTCCTGGAGCCTACGTGCAGGGTCAGGGCTGCTCCTTGCAGCCTCCAACTTTTAAAGTTATGTCTGAGAAAAACTGGGATCTTGTTATCCAACTTGTGCTCTCCTCCATCCTCTTCCTTCTCCCATTGTTTTGGTTTTTTTTTGTGAAATATCCACTAGACAGGTTAAAGAGCTGAATTTCAGTATGCCTTTTTTTATTTCTAATAGGTGTAATGCGAATTTTTTATGTGTAAATCTGATCCAAAATCACTGTCTCCTAGCAGGAGGCTGCTTTTTCCTTTTTGGCTTGCCCTCCTAGCATCCCTCTTCCCTGCTTGCAGACTCCAGTTCTAGAAACTTGCCACAACGTGGCCATAAAAATTAGACCAGATTCAGGGAAGAATAGCTCATGAAGTGAATTCTAAATGGTGTTACTGGTGCCCCCACTTTATTCAGACCAACCCTGCTCTGTAACAGCAGGTGAATAGAGTGAGGAATACCTGGCAATGCTGAGGATAGAAGGGAGACAGATCACCTGAGCAGCATCACCCTCCTGTGTGTCCCCAAGCTGTGGTTTGCAGGAGTTTCCCTCTGGAGAAGGCTCCAGCTATGCCAGCCCAGGGACCTGCAGCTGTTTCATTCCTTCCCCACAGCCTTTGGCCACGTGGAGACCCGAGCCCACGCAGAGGAGAGGCTGCTGAAGAAACTCTTCTCTGGTTATAACAAGTGGTCCCGTCCCGTGGCCAACATCTCGGACGTGGTCCTGGTCCGCTTCGGGCTGTCCATCGCCCAGCTCATCGATGTCGTAAGTGCAAAGGCCAAAATTAGCCAGGCTGGGCCCAGGAGAGGCTCCTGGTGTGTGTGGGTTTTACTGGCTGATCCAGAGTTGGGTTGGGAAGGCTCTGCCCTCAGCAGAGAACAGAGATCATGCAGACAGAGCTGGTGGAACATGGAGGGGGTCATGTGAATAGCTGGTCATCAGAGTGGATCCTTTACTCTTCATTTACTACAGGAAAAATCCCAAATTCCCTGTCAAAACCCATGAGACTGATCACAGCAGGGCAGTGGAGCCGCTGGCATAAATGCCAGGGAATTCTGGCAAAATAATAAATCAAATACTTAATTTGGAATTTGAGCCACGATCATTAATACAAATTTACACAAGTTAATAGGGACAGAGCTTTGCACGCCTTGGAAAGAAAGATTGCCTGAAGAGGTTTCTGCAAATGAAAGTTTTGAGGGTTTTTAGCTAATCTGGCAGATATTAACAAGCAAATTCTGAATGTTTGCTCAGATCACACATGCAAGCTGTATATGCCCTGTACAAAGCAGTCTGCACGCAGACTGATGTGCACTGAAATAGCATTTATGGGATTATTCTGGCACAGTGTGTTGGGGTCAAGTGCTGGACAAAGGAGGTCCCTGCAGGGCTGCAGATGCCAGACACACTCACAGGCTTTAGAGCTTGTCCAGATCTTGCTCCTGCATTTTTCTCCTTCCTGTCCCTATTTGCATGTGGCATTTCCCAGGACAATGTCTGTGCAGCTGCACACACTTTGAGCAGGTATTTGGCTGGCTTACAAAGGAGGTCCCTGCAGGGCTGCAGATGCCAGACACACTCACAGGCTTTAGAGCTTGTCCAGATCTTGCTCCTGCATTTTTCTCCTTCCTGTCCCTATTTGCATGTGGCATTTCCCAGGACAATGTCTGTGCAGCTGCACACATTGAGCAGGTATTGGGCTGGCTTTTATAGAGTGGTTGGGGTTGGAAGGGACCTTTAAAGGTCATCATGTCCAAACCCCTTATTTTTCAGAAGAGGGTCTCCCTGACATTTTTTACTGCAGTCATGTGGCAGAATGAAAGGGATGGTAATGCCCCAGCCCTGGAAGTGTTCAAGGCCAGGCTGCGTGAGGCTTTGATCAGCCTGGTCTAGTGGAAGGTGTTGGAGAGGGTTGGAACTGGATGAGCTTTGAAGCCTGTTCCTGTACAAACCATTCCGTGATTCCTGTGATAATGGAATAATGCAACCTAAAGACATTACTGGTGTGGGACAATCCTAACAGGTGACTCTCCACACAGTTTTATATTTTGAAATCAGATTTTTAAGATGAAAAGAAAGCAGCTGAGATGGTTCAGGGGGTGGGGAATCAAAGACACCAGTTGCTGGAGAGTCTCATCTCCTTGTGCAGAAGCCACCCACTTCCAGCTTTGCAGCACAGCAATGGTCTCCCATTCCCCTCCTTGCTCTTACCTCAGCCTGAGGGATCCAGGGCTGTTTGCAGTTGCTAATGTTGAACTTGCATGGTTCTCATCTGAATAATTGATAAGACTAAAGATAAGACATTAGTGACTGTGGAAGCATGAGAGAGACTTTCCATTATGCAGCTGCTGAATTGTGGGAGAGGGGGGATCGATACACCTGCTCCACAGAGCTTTCCCAGTTTACTTAAGAAAAATTAATCTTCTTAAAACCATGTCAGTGGATAGAAGTGCAGCTTGCAGGCAGAGCTGTGCTGGGACCTGTGGGCATGCCTGGAGGAGGGCTCTCCCCCGCTGCTGCCCCAGTCTGTGGCTGGTGGGCAGGCAGAGCTGTGCTGGGACCTGTGGGCATGCCTGGAGGAGGGCCCCCCCTGCTGCCCCAGTCTGTGGCTGGTGACACTCCTGCCACCACTGTGGCTCTTCTGCTCCTCTCCCCGCTCCCGACAGTGACAGTTTTGGTGCAGACCCTGCTGCAGTTGTTAGACACAATGCTCAGCTCCCAACGACGAGGAGTCTGAAAGGGAAATCAGAGCTGTATTCAAACCCCAGCTCCTGCTGACAAAAGCTGGGGGCAGGGGAACGGAAATCAATGGGGAACTCTACATTCCTGCATGTCCTTACCTCACCCTGGATTGCTGAGGGTTTTCTGAGACCAGGAATAAGGGGGGAGAGGTCAAATACGTGCCCAGGAGCAGCCACCGAGAGACACACTTGGACTGCTGTGCCGTGTGTCTGCGGGAGCTCACGTGCTGTGCTCACCTTGAGAGAAGGGGCCAGGCAGTGCAGCACCCCATGGCTGTGGAGCCACTGCTGCCCTCTGGGCTGGCTCCCTGAGGAGCATCCAGCTGAGGAGGAACTTGGCCATTGTCACACGGCAAACCCCTCTCAATAATCCCGTGGGACTCAGGTCAGGAGGATGGGGTGGTGATGGGCAGGAACTTCCACCAAGGGAGGTTCCAGGGAGAATTCCAGGAGAAGGCAGCACCTGCTACACCAGGATGCCCCATGCAAGGGGCTGTGGTGGAGACCCTCAGGTGCTTGAATTGCCAAGTGGTAAGAGAATCAGTTTCTCAAGGATTGGTCCAGGTCATGGCATTCTTCTCCCATCATCACCCAAAGAAGCAGCTGGATATTTTTTCTCCCTTTGTTTCTCACTGGAGTGTTTTTTGTATTCCTCCTTGCTCCATGTGCTTCTGGTCCCTAACCCCAGGGCAGAGAATCTCTGCTCAGGTTTTACATCTGATGCCACAACAGCAAATGAGGAGGCTCAGGAAGGAGGAGGCAGAACTCCCCCCAAACTTCCTGGGTTTAAATGTTCACAATCAGTCCTGAACTGCCACAAGAGCAAGGTTAATGATGATCAGTTTGCTGTCTAGGAAGGAGGAGGCAGAGCTCCCCCCAAACTTCCTGGGTTTAAATGTTCACAATCAGTCCTGAACTGCACAGGAGCAAGGTTAATGATGAATAGTTTGCTGTCAGCTGAGCCCTGCCAGCTCAGCTGGGTTTGATGCCAACCCAGGCAAGAGATAAAAACCCCACACAAATAAACCCTGAGCTCTGGTGGGACACTTCAGTCAGACCAGCACTAGGCTCTGTCCTGTGTAATTCATCTGAGTCACTTAGAGAGGGCACAAAAGGCAAGCAGCAAACAGTAATTAACTCTACTGCAGTGCTGCCAGCATTATAAATGCCTGACATTGTTTAAATATGTATATACAGCCCTACTTTTCCATGATATTTGTGCATAGAAAGTCTACCCATTGTTGGAAATACACCAGGTGCCCAAGAATTCCATGTCAGCAGAGCAGCTGGGGCTTGTTCAGAAAACCCAATCCAAAGTGCCACAAGCTCATGTATTTGGTAGGAGAAATGCTGCTGAGCTTCTTGTTTCCAGAACTGTGTCCGTGGGCAATGTTTCACAGGAGAACACCCTTGCAGATGAAGCTGAGCACTGGAATCCACCAGACATGTGTGAGTCAGGGTTTAAATATCCATCACTCCCCTCCTTCAGTACTGAGGTCAAAGGCAGGCTGGGGAGCTTTTTCCTCTACCTGGTATCATCATCCCAGGCTGAATCCATCAGCACTGAGTAAAATCCCAATAAATTCCAGTCCATCTGCTCACAGGATTGCTTAGGTGCAGGCTCAGCTGTTCAGTGGTATCAGACCAGCTGTGCCCTGTCCCACGTCAAATGACAGAAACATCTGCTTTTTATTTCCAAGACAGAACTTACATTTATTGCAGAGGTGATTTGTAATTACATAAATGAAATACAATTAAGGGAAATTAAGAGGGTTCTTTGGGCCTCTTAATCTGCTCCTGTAACCAATATCTGATCTTGCATTTCAGGATGAGAAAAATCAAATGATGACCACGAATGTGTGGGTGAAGCAGGTGGGTGCCCCCAAATATGTGTTTTTCCATGTTTCCTTTCAGTTTTTTTGCTAAACTCTCCCAGCTTTGTAACCACCTCATTTTTGGCAGGAGTGGCACGACTACAAGCTGCGCTGGGACCCCCAGGAATATGAAAATGTCACCTCCATCCGAATCCCCTCGGAGCTCATCTGGAGGCCAGACATTGTCCTTTACAACAAGTGAGTGTGAGCACTGTGAGCAGGGGGCAAACCCATCCTTGCAAATTTTCTCTGTTCATGAGGTTAAAATGTTTCCTGCAACAATTCTGCTTTATTTTATTCTCTGTGGTCAGAGTTCATGTAGATTCTACAACATGCCTTAAATGACATGACTGACATTCATCACAAGGGCTTTGCTCTCCTGATGATCCTTCCTCTGGGCAGCCAGTTGTGTTGGGGGATGCCAGGTATTGTTTTCTCTTCACATGTCAGATGCACAATTAAGCTGGATTTGAGCTTTCAGTCCTCTTCAATTTCATTTCACCCAGGAGCTCTCCCCTAATTCATCACCATCAACTGGAAAAGCCAATTACTGATGATGGGCTTAAATAAGGAAAATATGCTGAAAAATGTCAGGCTCGTGCAGCTAGAAAAACAGGGGTTTCAGGTCAGCTAAATACCATTCTGGAATGATTCCTAAATAGGTATTTGCTCCTCTTTGCAGATGCTTGGAATCTGTCTCTTGTAAGGACACTTCCTAGGGAGCAGGTTGTGGTTTTCTTTCTTTCCTTTGGAGCCTGTTGATATTTTTAGAAATGCTGCCCAAGTGCCAAGGCTGTTTTCTCCCTGGAGCCCCCACCACAGCTCTCCGGTCTCCCTGGATGTCAGATATCCCAGTCCCCCACCCCAGCACAGGCCCAAGAGAAAACACTTGCTGCAGGCATCAAGGAAAATCATCTTTGCATGTGGCTGACACTCAGAGAAAACCCTCACAGCAGCAGCCAGGCTTGGTTTTAATAAACAGTTGCCTGGTTCTAGCTTGATATGGTTTTGCTTCTGTTTAAAAACCAAAATAAATGGCTGAAGCTGGAATCTGCCCAGGGGACTGTGAGCTTTGGAGACTACAGGGGCTGTTATCTTTCCCATTAGCTCATTCTGGATCCTCAGTGGTGTGGAGTGATTGCAAACCTCTCGGAAATCACTGCATCCTCACTGAGCACCTTTCAGAGATTAGCCCAATGAAAATTATTCATTCAGAGGCACTTGGACCTTCCTGCCCTCCAGGGACACACTCTGAACATGAATATTGCATCAAAAATGCCTCACTTGGCAGCCAAGAAAGGTGTTCACAGCTTCCACTGGAAAGAAAAAACAATGTCCTTGTCATTCTTGTTGTTTAATTAATGACAATGACAAGGATTATTATTTTTGGAGCTTCTGGTGGTTGTTGTGGTGGACCATGGTGCCAAAGGAAGTGACGTGGCACAAATCCCTGTGCCACCTTCGTGCGTCAAACTCTTCTTTTGCTGGAGCTACTGGCACAGAAGAGCCTGACATGTCACCTCTGCCTCCTCTCCCTTGGCTCAGCAGGGTTGATGAGGATGGTCCATGCAAGGAGGGGCCAGGAAATAAGGAACCACAGAATGACAGAATGGTTTGGGATGAAAAGATCTTAACCATGATCTGATCCCACCCCTGGTCATGGGCAGCAACACTTTCCACTAGACCAGGATGCTCAAAGCATTGAGCATTGTGCAGCCTTGCCTTGAACACTTCAGGGATGAGGAACACTCCAGGAGACCTTGGTATCCTTTAGGTCTCAGGACATTTTGGGGTTTCACGCTGAAGACACCCCCCAGATGTCCAGGACACCCTGACTTTGAGCTGGGAGCTCCTGCCCCTCTCAGACTCTGCCCCTCTGCCCTGTTGTAGTCACTGCTGCTGTCACTTGAGTCTCTACAGGGACTCCAGGGGTCTCATCTCCTGGCCACAGCAGCTGCTCCAGAATGTCCTTCTCTTCCTCTTCTGGGCAGTGAGAATCTTTCAGTCCTGCCCACCTTATTGCTCTGCCTTGCAGTAACAAATCTGACTGTCCTGCTGACACAGGAGATCTCGTGCCCCAGCTCCCCAAATCCAGGCTGCTTCCCTCCCTTGATCCATACTTAGCATTAATGATCATGCATTTGTCTGTTGGTTGTCATGAGTCTATCATGCATTTTTAATTGGTTACTTTATCCATGAATTAAACATGGATGTGAGCTAGGCACCAGACATTAGTGGGTTTCCATGAATTCCATGTGTCTTCACTGCTATATTTCCCTTTGTGCTCATGCAAAATGTTTTCTGCCCTGAGATGTACTTCTCTCTTCCACCTAAATTCCTGCCAAACACATCTGGAGCTGCAGTCAATATCTTAATCGGGTTTCACATATTTTAGGGACTGCAGGGCAAATGCAAAGCAAAACCCCCAGAGTGAGGGGACACCAAGGTGAGGCTGCTTTGCACAGCATTTCACCAACTGCATTCCCAGCCAGGGCTTCTCCAGCTGGACATCTCAGCTGGAAATGGTAGTGATTAGCCATGGTGATGCTAACAAGGACTCCATCTCATATTTTACACATATATATGTATAGTTTAGAGAGAGTTTGACATAGCTGCACGTGATTCTGGGTCTCTAAGAGCAAGAGAATGTGCAAAAATACCTTGGTGAAAGAGAGCGAGAGGCCACACTGACCTTTTGTCTTCAGGCTGTTTAGGGTGAGCTAATTATTGCTTATAATATTATTGAAATATGGTATTTCTGTTTGGGATGGACTCCTTTAGGAAAGATTATACAAATACCCTTCCTGTTTTCATCTTAGGCTATATATTACAGAAATGGTAAAATTTCAGTTTATTTCAGATTTACATTTTTAAGGAAACCTGACCCTTTGTTGTGAGGTTACTCTCATATCATGGCTCATTATTGTAAAAAACATTCCATTTACCCACTCTAGAGACCCAAATTAAATCAGTAAATTCAGCTGGTTTGGCCTAGAGACTAAATGTAGTTGTCAACATTCATAAGGAATCTGAAAAGAAATTAATATCCTACAGGGAAATTAATATGCTGTTGAATTTTCAGGCATGATGAGATAAGTTCCAAGACTCTGCAAATAGTTTCTACTGGATGTGACATAACATATGTACAACAGAGGAATATGAGTTCCTCACAGTGAAGTGACAAAGCCTCCTCTTTGCCAAAAAACCAGGCTGTTCCTTATCTGAGGTTGTAAAGGCTCTTCAGGCACCACCAAATCATTTCTAAATGAATTATCTAATCCTCTGCATTGATTTGTTTCTCCATTCATGAATGGCTTTGAAGCACATTTTAGTTTTTCTTTGTATATTTGAAGTACAAAAAATGAATTGTATTTTTTTCTCTAATGAGGGAATAAGCTTTTTGGGATTGCTTTTTTGTTTTGTGGTGGGGTTTTTTGTTGGTTTTTTTTTGTTTTGTTTGTTTGTTGGGGTTTTTGTTGGTTTTTTTTTTTTTTGTTAGGTTTTTTTGTTGTTTTATGTTTGTTTTTGGTTGGTTGGTTGGTTGGTTTTTTGTTGTGTTTTTTTTTTGTTAGTTTTTTTTTGGTTTTTTTTTTGCTTCTCCATCTCTGTGTTGAGTCCCTTGTTCAACATGGGAGCTTCAGAGGATAAACCCCTGAAAGCACAGGTTTGCACCCAGGTGCTCCAGCTGCTGAAGGCTGCCCAGGGCAATCCAAGCCCATGTCCTGGAGCCTAATGCTGGTTTTCAGCTGGACAGGCATGGTATTATCACAGCCTGGTGGTTGTAAAACCCGAGAAGAAGCTGCTGGGAATATTGAGAATTCAGAAGTTTCTCTTTTCTTGGTATTTTCTGGGATTAACTGTTCCAGAAAGTAATCCTTGCCTTAGACTCCACAGTTACCCCCCCCAAAAAAAAGAAATATGTGTGAAGGAAAATCAAATACAAATTTCTGTAATTAGGGGTAGGAAATATCTTGAGGAATTCATCCAGTGATAAAATGGACACAAAGGGATTACTGGATGGGATAAAAAGATCGTCTGTCAGGCAGCTTTTGAAAATCATGGAAAAGCAAAGAGTTTTTTTGAAAAGTACTGCTGCAGCTTGTTCTCGTGAGCTATACTGTGATGTTTGCAACCAGTTAGATTGATGGAGTAACACTGGTTTTATGACTCATCCCAAAGCTCTTTGGAGGAGAAATACCAAAAGATGCCCCAGTGTAACCTTTAAAATTGGAAACATACTTGACATTTTTCTTTATGTGCATTGGCACAGATCTCATCATTGTGCACCAGTTATATTTATAATAGGCAAAAAAAAAATAAAAATCACTAATTCACCCTTCAGTTCTCCGATCCTTCTGGCAGATTCAGTGGTTGTTTTTCTGGAGAGGAACATCCTCAGATGCTTTGAGGTTTGCTGCCAAGCTCTACCCAGCAATGCAGGAGCTGATAGAAGGAAATATTCAGGAGGGATCTCTCTCCTGGGCTGCTGCTCTGCTCACACCCAAGGGCTGCTCCTACCATTCTAAGGACAGAGCAAGAGCTCTGCCTTCAAAGTGCTGGGGAGGATCCTTGGCAAAGGGGAGAATTGGAGCAAAATGCACCAATTCAGCAGAGTCAGAACCTCCTGTGCTCATTCCATTGGTGTAGCACAGCCTTTGCTGAGAATGGTGCCTGTTTTCTTGAGCAACAGCAAAAACATCATTATTACTGCTGGTTTCTAAACCAAGGAAAAGCTGGGATGGGACTGAAGGAAGTCCCATCAGTGCACACACATCTCCCCTGGGCACCCAGGACGTCCAAGATCCTGGAAATATTTAAAACCCAACTAAGTAAGGTCCTGATCCTCGTGTAGCTGACCTGCTTTGAGCAGGGAGTTTTGGGCAGGAAGCAGTTCCAGAGGTGCCTTCCAAGCAGTGCATTTGAGTTATTTGGTAGCACAAATCAGTATATATTTTCCAGTAAATATTTTCTGGTTTCCTTTTGAAGAGAATTTTAATCTGAATATTCCAGAAGCATCTCTGTAATGTGTACCAAAAGGGTGCAGGCTCCTAATACCACAATTTTTCTTTATTACTGCTCTTTGATGAAAAATGCTTTAAGTGAGGACATTCTACTATATCCATATGTGTGTGTAGATAATTTTCAGGCTTTTAAAGGTCTGTTGGGATTTAAATTGCGTCATCAGAAATTAAAATAAATGTGTGTCTCATTTACATGCACTCTGAAAACACTTAATTTTGTGAGATGGTGTATCTCCCAACTGTAGGAAAATAGAAAGTGTCAAAGGAAAACAGAAATTCTCTGTCAGCAGAGCTTTTTAGTAGAACATGGCTGGTAGATGTCAGTAAAGCAATGCCATCCTTAAACCCTTAAACTTAGGAAATTTAATAGAGCAGCCTTTCTTCTCAAAATGAGAAATCAAAGGCTGCAGCACACAGCAGCTCTTTTTTTTTTTTTTTTTTTTTTTTAGATAAGTAATTGTCTTCTCTCTTTCTTGGTGTTTGACATAAAAATATAAGAGCTCCAGTTCTTTAATACTGGCATATTTCTAAATTCTAAAGCTGTCAGGTCAGAGTAACCAGGAGAGCCTGACTCTGAATTCTGCAGTTCTTGTGATGTTTACCTTGCACTCACGCCTTCTTCCAAATGGATTTTCATGACAACTGTCACAACAGAGTGATCTCCACCGAGTGAGATGAGAACGTGCTGCTGCTCTAGAGGAATGTCTGCAGATTTTCTCTGTCCCACTTCATCAGGTCTCCCACCTTCCTGTCTAAGGCAATATTCACGTGGTGCAGTCAGGGCTGTAGGAACAGGAATGGGTTTTCCCACAGCAAAGCTGTCCAAAAGAACACAGGGTTTCCCCAGGCTCCCAACTGCAGGCTGTGTTTGCAGTTGGTTGTCTCACCTTCATCCCTTGGAGAGGGGGGAAAGACTTGGGAAAGCACTCAACAGCCAGGTGACCTTGTTTGCTCCCTCTTTTATGTGGAGAGGAGCAGAATCAAAGTCTCTCACAGGAGGGGAGAGAGAATCTCTCCAGGCTCCCTGCATGGGCAGGGTGCCAGCAGGCACAGCTTCCAGTCCACTAAACGTGTGCTTGAAGGTCCACATATGCTTGTGGGTGGAAATCTCGGGAAAGGAGGCACAAAAATATGGATGCATGAAGGGTGAGACAAGTGGGAATACTGCCTTTGCATGATGTGGCTGGCTGGGATATATTCCATGTACAGAGCATGGCTGATTTACCCTGCTTACAAATTCCTCTGCACTGAACTGCAATGAGAAATCCAAACACACTCAGTAAAGTCAGAAATTCCTTCATAGTCCTGGTAGGCTGGTGAGGCAGGAGCATCCAAGGGTGTTTTATGGCTCCTCAGAGTCAATAACTGACTAAATCCAAGGAGAAGTTCCGCAGCTGGTTTCACTCCTGGCATGGCACTGCAGGCAAAATCCAGCCTGGAAGGCAGTGCCAGTGTTCTTTGTAAAAATGTGAGCCAAAGAGGACCCAGGATGAAGCTGGGTTTGTTAGGCGAGCAATTAAAAAAAAAAAAAAAGTTTATTCCTCATTAAAAAGCAGGTAATTTACAGAAACAAGTGACACACAAGATCTGCAGCACCACAATGGTTCCATCTATGTTTGCAGAAGAGGAGTGTGGTGATCACCCAGAAACTGCAAAACTGCCAGGGAAGGCATTTCTGGGAATGGAACAGAGTTGCATGAATTATTATCATTCCTGGATGCTATTTTAGCAAGAGTTTAGTGTGGTTTTTTTCCAAGAGTTTTCAAAAGAAAAATGTACACCTGTCTTGTTTATCCAGCCACTTACCCGCTCTACCTAAGAAGGGAAACACTCATAGTGGATGCTCATAATCTCTTTTCTCTAGTAAGATCCAGTTAAAAATATTGCTCCATTAATGAGTGATTTAATCATGCCTCAGAGATATCATTAAATGCAGAATCAGATTCCATATTCCTATTGAGATTTAAAAAGAAAACCACCAAGAACAGCAAGCACTGGACTGCCACTTGCTGTGCATGTTTCATGTCTCAATCTGGATTTACTGTGCTCCTGGCAAAACCCAGGAGGAAAAAAAAAAGGTGGTTTTCATCCAAATCACATGTTCTGGAGTGTAAATTAGATTTAAGAAAGAACAGGTAAGACAGGAGCTGGATGGATTGTGCAATGGCCCAGGTTTGGTTGCTTCAGAGTAGATCACCATACTGATTTTGTGTTAATCCCTTTGTGAGTGCCTTGTATGTAGTTCCCACCTTTTTTTTTCTTTTTTCCAAGTATTTTAAGTCTTTGAGAAAAAATCCAGTTTAGAAGTCAAAAGACACTATGTCCTTTTGTGTTCTTTTGGCTGTCCCAAAATCTGCCCCAAAGAAGACAAAGAACAAAAAGAGTTTAGTAAAACCTGGTTCTCCACCACACAAGAATTCTGGGTTTATTTTTCAAGAAAACTAGAAAATTGTCTCAAGGACATCTGGGCTGTGATCCTGAGGACTGGGGATGTTTCCATCTCTTCCCAGGAACTGTGTTAGCCAAGGCAGCTCAGCAAGTGCCCAGATCCTGCCACTATTTCCCAATACAACACCAGTCTCATTTTTAGGATGTTTCACAGAGCAGGTGGGAATATGTGATGTGAGTTGTGAGGCCCTGACACAGGCTGCCCAGAGAAGCTGTGGCTGTCTCATCCCTGGAATTGTTCCTGGCCAGATTGGATGGGGATTGGCGCAACCTGGTCTAGTGGAAGGGGAAAAAAAACCCAGAAACTTCCATGGCAGGGAGTTGAAATCAGATTGTCTTTAAGGTCCTTTCCAACCCAAACCATTCCATGATCCTATGAAACTATCAAAAAGTCCTTTCTCTTTCCCAATTTTGCTTTTAAATGAATGGTCTTGTAAATGAATTAATTCAGAAAGTTCCTGTGCCTTCTGCAGCTTGAGGAGCCCTGCTGGATCAGCCGTGTGTTGGTGATCTTGCTGCTGGGAGGGAGGAGGAGAGGTGTGCTCCCTGTCACTGCGTGGCTGCTGTCAGGGCACATCTGGGCACTGAAGCAGCAGAGCCCTGGGATTTTGGCAACTGCAGGCTGGGCTGGCTCCAGCCAGAAGCACTGGGCAGGAGCAGAGAGCTTTCTATCTGTATCAGCCTGAATAATTCATCTCAAGTTTTTAGCAGAAGCTCTTTTCCCCTGCACAGTCTGTCCTTTGTCTGGCAGTGCTGCTGTTGGTAACTCAGGTTCTTCCTCCAAAAGTCTGGAAAATACAATTTATTCATACAATTCCAGTACAAACTCCTGAGCTGTTATCTATTTATCTGATAACCCCCAGCTGAGAGCTCCTGTGAGGAGACACCACAAAATCCAATTCTCTTCCTAACTTGGAAATCAAAAGATTAATGTTCGTTATTCCTACTAATAGGATGTTCTTGCTGTTTTTCACATAAAAGACTGGGTGATTACCCAACACTCATTCGTTTTTAGCAGCTGTCACAAATAATTCTGCCCAGCTCACAGCTACCCTATCTCATAATACTTCCTCCCACTTCTAAACCAAACTCAACTCATTCCAGAGCACATCTGGGACACCTTTGGGAAAAACTTCTGTGCAATCATATCAAGGAACTGACTTATTCCAGGGAAAGGCTGGCATGTGCATGAATTCCAGGGCTTGTGTCAGCCAAGAGCTCAAAATGCCTGGACAGAGTAGATGGAGCCAGTGTTTGGACGTGATGTGCCTCTTGCATCTCAGGTCATTTGGAAGCCAGGCACTGAATATCCTATTTCCTTAACAGAGCTGACATGTCCTAGAGGAGTCTAAGCTTTTTTTGTCTTCCATCTGTCCCCAGTGCTGATGGTGACTTTGCAGTCACCCACCTGACCAAGGCTCACCTCTTCTATGACGGGAGAATTAAATGGATGCCCCCTGCTATCTATAAAAGCTCCTGCAGCATCGATGTCACCTTCTTCCCCTTTGACCAGCAAAACTGCACGATGAAGTTTGGCTCCTGGACCTACGACAAAGCCAAGATAGACTTGGTGAGCATGCACAGCCATGTGGACCAGCTGGACTACTGGGAGAGTGGGGAGTGGGTCATCATCAACGCTGTGGGCAATTACAACAGCAAGAAATACGAGTGCTGCACAGAGATCTACCCCGATATAACTTATTCCTTCATTATCCGGAGGCTGCCGCTGTTCTACACCATCAACCTGATCATCCCCTGCCTGCTGATCTCCTGCCTCACTGTCCTGGTCTTTTACCTGCCCTCTGAGTGTGGAGAGAAGATAACCCTGTGCATCTCCGTGCTGCTGTCCCTCACTGTGTTCCTGCTGCTCATCACGGAGATCATCCCCTCCACCTCCTTGGTCATCCCTCTGATTGGGGAGTACCTCCTCTTCACCATGATATTCGTTACCTTGTCTATCATCATCACTGTCTTCGTGCTCAACGTGCACCACCGCTCCCCCCGCACCCACACCATGCCAGACTGGGTGAGGAGGGTCTTCCTTGACGTGGTCCCACGGATCCTTTTCATGAAACGTCCCTCCACGGTGAAGGACAATTGCAAGAAGCTCATTGAGTCCATGCACAAAATAACCAACGCGCCGAGGCTTTGGTCCGAGATGGACGTGGAACCCAACTTCACTACCTCATCCTCCCCCAGCCCCCAGAGCAATGAGCCATCACCCACCTCCTCCTTCTGTGCCCACCTGGAGGAGCCAGCCAAGCCTCAGCCCATCTGCAAGTCCCCTTCTGGGCAGTACTCCGTGCTGCACCCAGAGCCCATACAGGTGACCTGCTCCTCTCCACAGCCCTCCTGCCACCACCTGAGCGACACCCAGGCCACCTCTGTCTTGAAAGGCAGGTCACTGAGTGTCCAGCAGATGTACAGCCCCAACAAGGCAGAGGAGGGGACAATCCGCTGCAGGTCCCGGAGCATCCAGTACTGCTACCTGCAAGAGGACTCTTCCCAGACCAATGGCCACTCCAGTGGCTCCCCAGCGTCCCAGCGGTGCCACCTCAACGGGGAGCAGCCCCAGCACAAGCCCCGTCAGTGCAAGTGCAAGTGCAAAAAGGGCGAGGTGGCCGGCACAGCAGCCCAGGGGAGCAAGAGCCACGGCGCCAAAGAGCAGCACCTGGTGCTGATGTCCCCAGCCCTGAAGCTGGCAGTGGAAGGGGTTCACTACATCGCAGACCACCTGCGGGCGGAGGACGCGGATTTCTCGGTGAGTATTCCAGCGGAGCCTGCTCTCCCTCAAAGAGTCAGGAATGAGCTGCTAAGGGGGCCACAGCAAGCCTTGAGCTGTGCAGGGTGTGTTCGTGTTGAGGCAGGCTCAGCCATACCTCTAGGGTGGGTTTTGGCCGCTGTAGGCACAGCTGGAGATGTCCTTGGTGTCTTGGAATGAGGGCCAAGGGGGCGGCACAGCCAGGGCATGCTCAGGCTGCTCTAGAACAATGGATTCTCCAGCAGAAAATAGGAATAAAGTTGTTGTTAGGCAGCAAAGAAGCAGTTAGATTTCTGACACCCAAGATGCAGCCATCTCACAGGAACAGAGGCTTATTCCTTATTTAAGCCTCTGACAAATGAGGAATTCACACTCTCTGCTTTTTATTAATCACTGACTGACTATGGAGCTGAGGAAAGCAAATTGCCCAGGCAGGCTGTGGGAAGCTGCAGTAGTGTGGGGATACTGCAGGGTCTGTTCAGCTCTACTCATGTATCATGGTGTGATTCTTTATTAGTGGACTTCCACTGGAGCTCTCTGCAGGGACGTGAGGGAACAAATTTCCTGTTTATTCTGTGGGGGTAAATATGGTTACAAATAAAGGGAGTAGAGGCTGAAAGGATTTTTTTTTCATGGAGACGGTGAGGCACATAACAAATGCTACATCCTTTCATAGCTCTTGTAGCTCTTTACTGCAGGACTATGGATACTATGTGTTAGTAATTATGGCCACAATGAAAGGAGGCACAAGATAACCTGAAGTTAGTCATCTTATTAAAGAAAAGTCTTATCTACCTTTTCCTGGGCAGATTCATATGCCAAAGGTGCATTTTAGCTTTGTCTACAGTTTAAATTTCTTAGGATTTAGAACCAGTGCAAGTCATAGTGTGATTATACAAGACTTCCTGAGCATGGAGAGTATCTTTTATTCCCATGTTTCACAGCACTGAGCAGCAAGAAAAGCTTAAATACTACTGTCCATTTCTATACTCTTTGGTATCCTAGTTAAGGGCCTCTGTTCTTCAATGGATTTTGCTTCACAGCATCCCTTTGAGGAAGGAACTGTTAATTCCTTATGTTGAAGAGTTACAGCCAAAACACAAACTTTCTATTCAAGGTCACAGAACAAATCTGTGGCAGAGATGGGTTGTGAATCCTCATCTTCATTAGTTGCCAGTCCAAAACTCCTTGCCAGGGTAAAGCACTTCAGAAGCACATTAGGAGTGCAGGAATTAAAGTCTGCTCTCTCCCTCTGGCAATAATCACAAGTAAACCCTTGGATGTCAGTTGAGTTTAGCTCAATTTTTTCCCCATGGTGCAAATGAAAAAATATTACACCAATAATACTTCCCATTTCAAATGATTCTGCCTGCTGAGCTGGTTGGTGTTAACAAGAATGGAGTCAATTAATATTTTGGGTTCCTTCCTCTTAATTTTTTTAATGAAACAGTCTTCAGAAGCCACAGATTTTCTTCTGATACCTTCTGCTGCTCTTCCCTCGTGAAATTAAGTGATCGTCCTGAGGAGAAAGCTATTTACAGCACTAAACATCAAAAGCAGAAGAAAAGGAGCAGCTTTGAGCCTTTGGTCTCTGACCCAAGTTCCTGCCAGGCCAGGCTGTGAGGAAAGGCACCAGGAGAACATCCAGCAGTGAGCTGTGGGCAGCTTTGTGGGCTCCCCTGGGGACTCAGGGTGACCTTTCTCCACTGTTCCACAGCAGCTGTGGTTGGCACGGAAGGCAGAGCTTGGGCTTTCAGATAGAGGGGATAATGCTGACTCCATTGTGGGCCTGCACTATTTTCTCTCTCTGGACCCAACTAAGATATAAAGTAGGAAAGCACAATTTTTCCTCCCAGTGGAAATGAAAAAGAATAAGGAAAATGATCTTCTGGAGGTGAAATACATTCTGAGGAGCAGAACTGATCTATAAAATGAGAATTTATTGGGGAAAAAAATCAGTCCTCAGAAATTTGCTTTCATCTTAAAATCAAATTGTCCCATTTCTTCATGGAAGTCTTCAATAAATCTATCAGCAGGCATCTCTGATGCAGTGCTGAGACACATCTCACTGTCTTGTGGGCAATATTTCCAGAGACATTCACCTTCCCAGAAGGAGGACAGAGCTTCTTTTAAGTTCCTGTCTTTTTATTTTTTCTCTAAAGCTCCATTGCCACAGGGGCAGTGCTTCTAAATTAAAAGTAAATAGCTCATTTAATTAAGTGCTCCAGCGAAGAGAAAATGGGAAATGCAAGAGGCAGTTGTTTGTTACAGAAAGATATCTGCAAACAATACAGGCACAATGGGGCACTGGGGAAAACACACGGCGCAATTGTCCCAGCAGAAGATGGAAATGCCATTAGAAATTAATTACAGACTGAAAGGCAAAACAAGTTCCATGTCACACATCAGCCAAAATAACCAGACAGCACCATCTGGGAAGTCGTTCTGTCCATGGCTGTGTGCATCTCCAGAATGCTCTGATGTGAAGATATTTAAAAATAAAATGGGAAGGAATAAAGCTGAGGGGGAGGAAACAGGATAATCTCACAGGGTTATTTTTAACAAAATACAATAAAACCGCTTGGGACTGCTCTAATCTGTGCTGCAGGCTCTGGGTCCTGGGGGTCAGATGGCACCAAGGCACCTCAATCCTCCTCCAGTCCTGAGGCTCAGACCCACGAGGAGCTGGACCAGGGCAGAGCTGCAGATTCCCACTTCTCAGGAGTTTGAGAGTGGGGGAGTCAGCTGGTCCTTCCCCTGATCATTTCCCGAAAATAACTTTGAGTGAGCTTCTTAAAAACTAATCAGAATAGAGGTCAGGAGTTGTGGTGGCAGATGTTGGCAGCTGCATGGATGTCAGAGGGATGCCTGCAGATCAGACTCCAACTGGGCTGCTGGACCACGAGGAAGAGCTACAATCGTGGCCGAATACAAAATAAAAAATCCAAATCATTTTCTCTCCCTTATCCTCTTTTTTTTTTTATTATTATTATTATTATCTCCCCTTAATTTCCAATTTCACCCTCTGTGCTCTCAGTCTGAAGCTGGATATTGATTTTACAAACATCTGATGCAGTCCCAGCCATCATTTTCAAAATGGGTTCAGTATTTCTGCATACACCATTACATTAGAAAGCAAATTCCTCTGCAAGTTGTTCTTCCCCCACTTTCCTCTTCTTTGCTCAGAGAGAAACTCATCAAGTTTCTTTTCTTTGTGTGATCTAGCACTTTTTTTTACTAGCATAAATATTCAAAGAAAGTCATTACACCAGAATGAGACATTATTTACTCAATCCAGCTTTCCAGCTGAACATCAGATGGGAAATTTCAGATTTGCTTTACACATTGGTTACATCATAAGACACTAATCCCATAAAAACAATCATCCAGGGTTTGCTTAGATGCCTTTCTCATGGGGAATTTTAAGCATCAGAGGCTCCAACTCTCAGCAAGTGATGAATAGGTCAGAAAATAAATGCAGCAAAAGGGAGTTATCCACTGAGCTCTTATCACAGAATTGTAGAATTACAGAATGGTTTGGGTTGGAAGGGATCTTAAAGCTCATCTCATTCCACCTGCCATGAGCAGAGCCCCATCCAACCTGCCCTTGAACTTTGCAGGGATGGGGCAGCCACAGCTTCTCTGGGCAGCTGTGCCAGGGCCTCAGCACCCCCAAAGTAAAGGATTTATTCCTAATTTCTAATCTAAAATGCTACATTTTAGTTTAAAGCAATTCCCCCTTGTTCTGCCACTACACGATTTTATAAATTTGAATAAATTATAGTTCACAACCCAAGGAAATTATAGAATCTTGGAATGAGAGAATTCCTTTTGGTTTTCAAGGGTCAGTATTTTTTTTTTACTTACGCTAATTACAGATGGTTGTGCAGAAGGCTGTACAATCATAAGATAACATGATTTTACCCAAGAAGGTGACAAGATGCAGGATGAACATGGTTGATTTCTCTGCCTATTCAGTAGTAAAGGCTGGCTTAACACAATGCTGCTTTTAAAAGGAATAAGTCTATCCATTTAATGAAAACACTGAACCCATTCTTATGCTTTTGACAACATTCAGGTATTCCTGAAATTGAAAATGCTTTGTTCTGAGAAAATATAATATGGTCTCCAGTGCATGCCTCATTTCCCAGCTCACAAAGCTGCTCACTGAGCCAAGGAGCTCAGCAACACCACTGTACCTGTGGAAACATCCTCTGCTGCAAGTGGCATTGCACTGATAGCTGGATTGCTTCCTTTACCAAAATGCATTTTTGGCAGCTTTGCTGTCCCCTTCTCCTTTCACCACTCACAGCCACTGGGGAGGTTTGAGTGGGCTCCTGCTGAGATGTTTTCCCCAAAGAACAAGGCAGCGTGCCAAATTTCTGCCCTTGGGGCTATTAATCACCAAGTGGGAAATTGTAGGAAATCATAATGGGTACAGTCATATCAAATAGAACTTTACCATCTGATCAGGCCTCTTCCTGGGAAAGAAATTACTAACAGCAATGTAATATAAGAGGTTTTCATAGATATATGGTTTCTTAATGAAACAGTCATTAACCATTTCTGCCTCATGGTACTAGAAGTTCCCAGAGGGGAATTGCTGGAAAATCCTCCCACAGCAAGGCAAAAATAGGGAAAAAGGAGGATGAGGGTACTTTTATTGGCTGGTTCATTTTCACTTCTTATTCACCCAAAGCTGTGAATGCCTTCACAGAAAGAGATTGGCTTTGTTCATCTGTAAGCACATCTTTTTATGAGCACGGGGAAACGAGTCATTTCTTACCCCCCACTGCCCCAGCCTGAATCACAGCCTCATTTACACACCCAGCTACAGCTGTTGCTGGTGGAAAATGGGAGAGTGAGTGTGCAGATGGCCTTAATTATCCACGGGGGTGTGTTATCCACTGGGATTTGGGACTTCACATGCACACCCCTGCAGTCTGGGGATCCCTCAGGTGATTGATGAATGAAGCTTTGCCATTTTATAGCTCCACTAAGTGAGCCTCCCCCTCCTATCTCAGGAATGATATGAAAATATCCTGCTTTGGAGTAAAGCTCTAAGGGTTTTCACAAATTTTAATCTCCAGTAAATGCTAATAATTGGCCTCTCCCCTCTGTGTTCCAGGTGAAGGAAGACTGGAAGTATGTTGCAATGGTCATCGACAGGATCTTCCTCTGGATGTTCATCATTGTGTGTTTGCTGGGAACTGTTGGGCTCTTTCTCCCACCCTGGCTGGCAGGAATGATCTAAATATAGCACCAAAGGGAAGAAATTATTGTCCCACTATCCCACTCTATGGATTTTAGTTCACCTGGAAGGAGAGAACACTTGAGCTGCTCCCGAGCTCTCGGGGAATCCTTGCCGAGGTCACATTGTTTTGCCAAGCCATTTTCATCTCCTCCATCTAATTTAGGGGAAAAGTTCTTATCAAAGTCTGTACATAGCATGGTGGCATTCATTGGCATATACTCAGCAGTGTAAGAACACGAGCTTGTCCCTAAAGCAGCACAGGAAGGGGCTCTGCATCCACAAACCAGCCCCTGGCAGTAGCTCCAGTCACCCTCAGCAGTCTCACTGTGCCCTGCCCAGTGACTTTGCCCTGTCAGGCTGAAGTCTTTCAGGACGGTGTCCCTGTATGAGTCATTTTATAAATAAAGTTCCAGATTTGGGATACCTGTGCAGGATGTGGTCTGTGTTCAGCAGGTAAAGGCAGAGAGTCTGGAAAGGCTGGAATGGCTGCTTGGGACCAACAGTGATCATTAGCACAGCAGATGCAGATTTTATACAGATTTTACTCTGGCCAGTGCCCTCCAGGAACTGTGGATCCTGAATGAGGATCAGGCAAATGGAGGGAGGATTTGGGGTTAAGATTGGGACCACATTGGTAACACTTTAGGGTACTTTCAGAGGAAATCTGAAAGTACTGGATCCAAGTTATGCCTTCTGCAAAACTGCAGAGGGTCACCCTGAGATGTAAAACCCTTGGTGTAGGTGGGGAAGGTACCTAAGACATGGGGAAGCCAGAACAGAAGTCCAGGATAGAAGTGTGCCAGGATCACCTAGAGCAGGTTATTTAGGTCCCAGAGAGAGAGAGAGACTCCATGACCTCCCAAGGCAGCCTCAGTGCTCTGCCACCCTGAATGTAAAGCAGTTTTTTCCTCGTGTTGAGGTGGGATTTCTTGTGTTTCAGCCTGTCCAGCTCAGTTTGGCCATGCTCACTGTTCCCACCCTCAATGCTGGGTGCCAGCTGGGAACAGCCCACAGCCCAGTGTCTCCCTGCTTCCTTCAGAGCTCTCAGAGGCAGAAGGGCTCATGACCATTTTACCAGTGTGTGCAGGCAGAGGCAGACGTGGTCTAAACATCCTCTAAAAGCTGCCTCAGGACCTGCAGTGAGAGCACAACTCAAAGCCCAGGCTGCAGCTCTGGGGTCTGGGCTTTGCCCAGCACCTCCTCCACAGCTGGAGCTGAGATCAGCACCCATGGGACTCTCTGGGAAGTTTACCCTGCCCTGAATTTAGGGGAATACACACCAGGAGAGGCAGGCAGCTGCCTGGGGAGCAGCACAGAGGGTGCTGGCAGAAGCCAGAGCCAGGTGAGAGCCCAGGTGGGACATGTGTCACCCCTGTGTGGTGGCCTGGCACACGAGGCTCGTGGCTGCCACACGGCTCAGTGAGCAGCACAGAGCTGCTCAGAATTGTGACAGCAATGCTGGAACCAACACAATGGGGTTTAGAGACTTATTTGGAATACAAGTTACTGCGCTCAGCCTGAACAGCACAGGTTAAAAATCAATGCAGTGATCAGCCTGTGAGGCCTCATCTAAGAACTACAAGTGACCTCCGTGTTCACAGATGCAGCCAAGTGCTTAAAATCTGTTTGGCTCACAAAGACAGCAGAGTAGCTGTGGTTTGGGCCAGTTCCACAAAGAGCTGTGCTGGCACAGCACGGGGTGGGAGGCAGGGAGGGAGGATGAGGGAGCCGAGCTGCTGCTCCTCGTGGCTTGTTTTCAGAATGAAGAGAGACCCAGCCTTTGGAGATGCTAATTTACCCCTTTTCACAGCCAGCGAGTTTGCTTGTGGCAATGAAAGGAAAACAAACAGACGAACATCTTCAAGGTCTAGTGCATAAATGTCCCAGCACAGCTGCAGTGCTGTGACACAGCAGGGCTGCCTCTCGGTGTCACAGCCCCACAGGGTCACAGGCTGAGCCCTCTCCGGCACCTTTTCACATTTTGACGAAAGGATTGTGAAGGTGGAAGATTTGTGACCCTGGGCACTGCTGGGTTAGGGGCATGGTATCACAGCAATGCCCACAGCAGCTGCTCAGAGCTCGCTCTGCCTCCCCCTCCTCCTCCTCCTCCTCCTCCTGAACACATGGGAATCACTAGCAGCAGAGCAGGTGGGAGGCTTGGCTGTGCACGCACATTTTGAGCAGTAAAACCAGCAGTTTCCAGCTGGGATGGAGTCAGCAGCAGCTCGAGTCTCTGCTCACATCTCCCAGCAAACACAGGAGCCAAAGCCAAGCCGGGGTGGCTGGGCTGCCAGAGCTGCTGCTGGGCCCCTGAGCAGGGGGGAATGGCTTGGAGGCACCAGGAGAATTGATGAAGTTTAAGGACAGGATAAGAGCCAAATTTTCACGGTGACAGATTGGGGAGTGCACTAGGGACAGGCTTTGTGCACAGCAAAGGGCTCATCTCCGATTTTCACCTTTTCTGCTCAAAGTCATGGCCAGTGCACACTGTGTGAAGGGCAGTGGCTCAAGGGGAGCATGGCACTTGGACTGCAACAGAGCAGGACATTCTGCCCTGCCATGCGGGAGGGGGAGGAGAAAAGAGCTGCATTTGTTGTGCATGACACAACATCAGAGGCACCAGGTGTGATCAGGAGTGCCAAGGGCGTGGTTGTGTCCTTGAGGAGTCAGTGCCACTGCAGGATCACAGGGTTTGGAGGGACAAGATGAGGAGTGACAGCTGAAACCATTTGCAGAGGTGTTACTGGTGTCCGGGGAGAAGCTGGCATAGGGCAGCTCCCTGGCATCCTCTGCTTTGTTAATGCCATAGCAGTTTTCATACGCTGATAACTACATTTCTTCACATGTTGCATAAGTAGTTTCCCAGGTTAAAGTTCAAATAAATTCTTGTTTTTGCTTCTGACATGCCTCTTTTTAAAGTCTAAGGGGAGAAATTAGGAAACAACATCCACTGCTCTTTCTCAGGTAATTCCATCTTGGAGGTTGTTTAGGAGGATGCCATCCTTCCATAGGATTCAGTGATCAGAAACTGGAATAAAACTGGGACATGAACCAGACTATAACTGTAGAATAATGAATAATTGTGCTATTTCAAACCCATGGAACACAAAGAGACGTTTTAGCATATGAAAGACTCCAGGAAAATGCATGCAGCCAGACTGTTGGCATTTGTAATGCTCCCAGCTCAGAAATTATTCCCAGGACTTGAGTGAACAAGCTGACATCACAAAAAGAGTGGGGAAGCAAGAGTGGGACACAACAAGAGCCCTAAAATGTATTGGAAGAGATTCAGAGCAAAGTAAATGGTTTTCAGCTTCCAGGAGTGCAGAACTAAGCTCAGAGACCCCAAAGGCATCAAAGACAGCAGATACGGATGTTGATCTTTTCTGTTTTACTTGTGCAGGAGAGATTGGATCCTTACCATGGTGTTTGATGCTTTCCCTCCAGTACAGCTCCTTTGGGCATGAACGGAACAAAACTGGCTGTACCAACCTCAGTTACCTCCATTGTTCTGTTTTTCCCTACAGCTCATTTCTCCTGCTTCCCTAATGCTCACTTTGTCCAGATCATCTTCCCAGCCACAGGGGATGCAGGGTGTTCTATCTGCAGCTGCCTGGTGGGATGATCTATGAAATCCCCATTTCCCCAGCATGTCCAGGGCTTATTTCCATCTCATTCCCCAGTGAGCTAATCCACATAGCTTTTAACACCTCCCTGTTGGAGAAGTTTCTCTAGATATTTATCAAGAAATTTGGCTCAAGGCAATTCACAGACAGGCAAAGATGCAGGATTCATGTACAGTCCTAAGATAAACACCCCCATAACAGCCCCACGTGGCCCTCCCCAACTGCAGTGATGTCCATTGATGACACTTTATCCACTCCCAGGATATCTTTTTGTTTCCAGCCCTATAATTCTGGTCCAGCCAAGCTGTTGAGTCATGGAGAAAGGACATAACAAGTTCTACTACTTGTTAACAGCATTGCTGGTTACTCCTATGGTTGTATCTTACCCCTGAGACAGAGATAATGCCTCAAAAAATGTTTGTTCCAAAAATATCTGTCATTGAAAGGTCCTCAGCCCCTGCCACAATCCACCTACACGAGGTGGGTCAAACTGTCAGAGCATAAAATCTTGCAGCAAAAAAGCTCCTTGGCTTGAGGAATTGGGTTACAAAGCACTGGCACAGGCTCTGTGACACTACATGGACTAAGTATCCTTGATTTCAAGTAAATAAAACCACTCATGGGAGAAAGTTTAGGAAGATAAATGGACAAGTTGTTTGTGCAGGTTGTCTGTCTCCTAATCAATAGCCCTGCTGGGACCCAATTTTGTTGAAGTCTGACCATTGCTGTTGTCTCTGAAATAACCAGACAAAAGCAAATGTCACTAGAAATTCCACCAAAATAGATCAAATCCCAAGACAGGCAGAGAGGGGATGTGAGCAATTTGCAAAAACAGTTGATAAAGAAACCTAAAGGAGTTCTGTCTCAAATCACCTGTGGTTACTAATTTTAACAGGCAGAACAGCAAGTTCAGGACTGGGAATTTGGCTGCACTGGTTGAAGTCAGAAAGGAAGCAGAATAACCTGCAATTCAGATGTTCCTCATTGCACTGCTCGTCTTCCCCAATTTGTAAACATTTAATAGCAATAATTTTCTGCCCACAAGTTTCACTGGCCACTTATCACAGCTTTGGAGTTTATACTCAGCGCTAAATTCAGTACCATTCTGAACCAACTTACTGTAGGTTTGTTGGTGGGGGTTTTTTTGGTTTTTTTTTTGTTTTTTTCCCAAGGAATTTGGAAAGCACAATTCCAAAGCTCTTTTACCTGTATAAACAGACACACTGCAACTCCCAACACCTGAGCAGGGTGTTCCTGTGCAGGAGTCTCTTCCAAGCACAGTGTTCCTGCTGTGCTGCAACCTTCAGCTCCTCTGACCTCTCCTTTTTCTTCTGACTGGAACTTTGTCTGCAGCAACACTTCATCTGTGCTGAAAGGTTTCCATTTTATATGTCAAGGCAACTCTGGAGAGCTCCACAGTGAATAGAAATGTTACTTCTATCAGAGTGGTGTTTCTATGCATTTTCCAAAGGGAATGTATGTCATACTGAAAATATTAATTCTTGGGAGTTTCTAGAGAATAAACACACATAAAGCCAAGGATGACTTTAAATACTTACAGGGTGCACTAAACATATTTTATCTGACTTTTGTTGTAGGCTGGCTCCCACACAAGTCTGACATGTTCCAATATTCCTTTAGCAGAATTTCTTAACTCCATAGGATTTTTTCTTCATGACAAGAAGAAATAATATTTGGACTCCTTGTCTAAAAAAGTCAGTTCTCTTAAGGTAAACCTCCTTCTCCTTGGTATTGATGTGACAATCTGCTTTCTAAGTGTGATGCATTTGCTGCT